ATTTGAATCAACAACATATCATTAACACCTGAAATTCTGTTGATATTCAGAAGTAGACATCAATTTGCATGTCAACACCTCACTTCGTCTCGCACATCAAGTGATCGATCATAAAAAGTGCTGCGTATCATCCGAAACCAAACTTCAAACTAAAATTCGTCACACATCGTTGGCCTTAACAAATGAAAAATTCCAATAAACTTGTAACGGAGGAAAACTATTTCAGACATCTTTTGAATGGCACACACCAAAAACTAATGGAGAGTCGACGCAGCACCAGCATTCTTTAACCGGCACACGCACCATCACAACTCAAACGCACTTGCCAAAAACCACTTGTCAACCGGGGCAGAGAGTGGGATGAACGACACCGACGACAGCAAGCTGTCTAAATGTTTGTTGTTGCTGCTGTTGTTTGGGTTCCACATAAAGTGAAGAAAGAATTTTCTGTTTTCTTTCAATTGAATAGCTTTCTTAAAAATAACTCATTTGTGTCCCTCATTTATGTTTAAGTTTGAACGTTTGTATCTATGTACATATCTACACATGCCTAACATACTTATCATTTATACAATTTGTATGTAAGGGTGTGTGTGTGTGTGTTTATAATAATATTCTTCAGCTACTGTCGACATGACAAAGAAAGTCCCCCAAAAGAAATGCAAAAGAAATAGAGAGAAATGTTTTTATTGAAAAATATGTAAACAAAATGTTATGCTCTCCCTCCCCATGGGCGGGAGAGGGAGAGAATGAAAGAGAGCAAAAGTTTTTCAATCAAAACAGAGAACAATTTACTTGATGCACCGCACAATAGGTTGATTTATATTAAAATACTTGATACACATATATTTATTTCTCAATTAGATCATGTTTAGGTGCAAGATTTTTGAATAACGAACAGAGTCGGTATGGCGGTATAGCCATCTTCATCAATTAAAGTGAATACGAAACAAGACAATTGACATTTTGGATCAAACTGGAAATTTACTAAGAATAAAGTTTAGTTTCATTATACCCTCCACCACATTATTACATTTGTCATTCCCTTTGTAACTCCTCGAAATACTGATGTCAGACCCAATAAAGTATATATATTCTTGATCAGCATAACATTTTAAATCGTTTGCCCATTGTAGTTTTTCACACGTTACCGTTATAATACAATTATAACGGTAACTCCCAATATTCGGTATTTTTATGGTATTAGAAGCATTATAGACTTGAATTACTTCAAATTTCGAATTTGAAGTTCGTAAAGGGTACTACAAACTATGACAGAATATTGTCCATGCTGGTCCACATCTTCGTATAGCTCACATATAACGAAAAGAAATATACCTCCCTTCATTCGGTGTGTTTATGATATTAGAGAGATTATTCACCGGAATTATTTCAAATTTCGTATTTGAAGTTCGGAATCGGTTATACAGCCTATGGAAAAAAATTGTGTATACAGGCCCACGTCTTCGTATAGCCCCCATATAACGATACCTCCCGGTGTACTACAAACTATCCGTGCAGGTCCACGTCTTCGTATAGCCCACATATAACGGAAGGAAATATACCTCCCTTCATTCGGTATTTTTATGATTTTATCGGTATTATTTACCGGAATTGTTTCAAATTTCGTATTTAAAGTTCGGAATCGATACTACAGACAAAAAATTTGCGTATTCAGGTCCAAGACTTTCTATAGCTCCACATCTTCGTATAGCTCACATATAACGAAAAGAAATATACCTCCCTTCATTCGGTGTGTTTATGATATTAGAGAGATTATTCACCGGAATTATTTCAAATTTCGTATTTGAAGTTCGGAATCGGTTATACAGCCTATGGAAAAAAATTGTGTATACAGGCCCACGTCTTCGTATAGCCCCCATATAACGATACCTCCCGGTGTACTACAAACTATCCGTGCAGGTCCACGTCTTCGTATAGCCCACATATAACGGAAGGAAATATACCTCCCTTCATTCGGTATTTTTATGATTTTATCGGTATTATTTACCGGAATTGTTTCAAATTTCGTATTTAAAGTTCGGAATCGATACTACAGACAAAAAATTTGCGTATTCAGGTCCAAGACTTTCTATAGCTCCCATATAACAATACCTCCCGATATTCGGTATATTGATGATATTAACGACATTATTCATCGGAATGGTTCCAAATTTCGTATTTAAAGTTCGTAATGGGTACTACAACCTATGCCAGAAGGCTGTCTTTGCAGGTCCACATCTTCGTATAACTCACATATAGCGAAACGAAATATACCTCCCTTCAATCGGTATTTTAATGATATTAGAGAGATTATTCACCGGAATTTTTTCAAATTTCGTATTTGAAGTTCGGATTCGGTAGTACAGGCTAAGGTAGAAAATTACCTATGTAGGCTCACGTCTTCGTATAGACCCCATATGACGGTACCTCCCGATATTCGGTATTTTGATGATCTTAGGGACATTATTCACCGGAATTGTTTCAAATTTGGTATTTAAAGTTCGTAATGGATAATACGACAGAAAATTGTCCGACAGAAATTTGTCTGTGCAGGTCCACGTTTTGGTATAGCTCCCATATAATGATACTTCCCAATATTAGATATTTTGATGATTTTAGCTACATTATTCACATATTTGTATTCAAGTTTCACATTTGAATATTGTAATGGCTTGTAACAAAACTTGTCTATGTAGGTCCACGTCGTCGTATACATTCGGCTTTATTCGCTATTTTTAAGATTTCAATGGATTTTTTTACGGATTTAATTTTTTTGAAAATTGCCAAATTCGCTCCAAATGGTGGAACGTATTCAAAAGTCGGGCCAGCCGAATTTACAGCTTTTTTACTTGTTTATGTAAAAATTTAATGACAGCACGCATTTCTAATTTTTCCATCATAAAAAAATTGCGGATGCGTCTTTTTTGAACACTTGTTTCTATATGAAGGAGTTGCCAGATCGAAACAAAATCTAACATGTGTTCATAACAGATGGAAGTTTCCAAAAGACTTAACTTTTTTCTGCTTATACCGCGATTTTTGTGCTAGGCTAAGAAGTTTCCGAACAGCCCTCGTATAATAGCTACAGAATTAAAAAAAATCATTTAGAATGGATGTATCTGAGGGCCGCATTATAGTTAAACAAACACAGAAAAGCGTTTGAACTTTGCAGCCAAATATAAAAAACGAGTTTTGGGAAAATGTAGCATTCTCTGACAAATATAATTTTAACATTTTTGGATCAGACGAAAGCGTAAGAGTGTGGCGTTAACCCACAGAATACTGGAAAAACTGTAAAGCATGGAGGAGATGATGTTACGGCATGGGGAGCATATCAGGTTTTGCTGTTGACTGTTCGGTGTTGGCTGTTCGGTATTTATAGAGGGACGATGGAAGCAGTTTATATAAACATTCTGAATGAAAACGGATTTGAACCCCATTGGGAATTTATATGTGTCATAAAGAAAAGTGTATGAGAAATCACACAATAGATGGAATGGGGCCAAATATCCAGAGATTAATAGCCGGTACATTCATTCATTCGGACCAGAATGAATGAAACCGTACGATTTAGTTAAAGCAGTTTGGTCAGAAATACAAATTATTACCTGAGTTTACTTATGCTAAAATACGGAGCTTTAGATGAACTAAAAAATAACATATAAAATCTTTTCATTTAAATTTTAATATTTATGGATATTTTCTTATTAACTGGGATACAATGGAAGATCTTTCAAACCTAAATTAGATGAAAGGGTTTTTTTAAATTATAACAAGTAAAAACGAAGCTAAGACCGACCGGGTCGATCTTTTAATACCCTCCAACTTTTGGAAGTATCTTGAAAAAAATTATATTAAAAAATATCTTTGAAATTATTGGAATATCGGGTGGTACAATTATATGGTGGCTAAAATTTGTGGACAAAGAAGGTGGTGCCTATAGTAAATTCAATATACCAAAATACCGAATGACACAGACCATCAAACTACCGAATATTGGAAGGTACCGTTATATGGAGTCTATACGAAGGTGTGGACCCAATAAGTATTTTTTGTCATAGGTTGTAGTACCAGTTAAGATATTCAGATAAGAAATTTGAAACAATTCCGGTAAAAAATGTCGCTAAAATCAACAGATTTATTAAAAACATCAAACTACCGAATATTGCGAGGTACCGTACGAAGGCGTGGACCTGCATAAGTATTCAAATTCGAAATTTGAAACAAATCCGGTAAAAAGTGTCGCTAAAATCATCCAAATACCGAATATTTGGAGGTACCGTTATATGGAGCTAATAAAAACGTTGACCGACAAGGCCCAACTCAGCCTGCCTCCTGGCAAAATACACGTGTGTGCAAAATTTAGAGTTATATCTCAAGTCGTTCGAAAGATAGCGTGATTACAATAGAAAGACGGACATCGCTAAATCGAATTAACATTTTAAGCTCATCAAGAATATATATACTTTATGTGGTCTGTCATGAGAGTTTTCGAACCTCAGCTAGCATTACTTCACCCACTGTGATTGCCTTCAACTAATCAAAATGCATAGCAATGTTGCCTAGTGATTGTTTTGGCTTCCCCCCTCCAAAAATTCTGTTTACTATTATGGATGTGCATGGCATGTTAGGAAAGTCAATTGGAATATTAGAGAGAGAGCGAGAGCATTAGTGAGAGAAATATGAGCAAGAGTGATGAAGACCAAATGGGGACAATTTGTTTGTGAGTTCTCTTCTCCAAAACGTAACTCTCTTCGTTGTTACTTTTACTCACTTAAAATTGAAGTACCCTCTACTTCGGTAATTTACAAGAAAGACAACAACAACAATAGATGTTTGGAAATTGACTCTTGTTTGACTGGGTGAGCTGGCTGAATTATCAATGGCAAATCAATGAGACACCAATAATACCGTTATACTTGTGCAAAGAAGAAGAACAAGAACAAAACGAGATGAGCTGCCTTGGCGATTGACAACAATATTGTCGTTTAGCGGATTCTGGAGCGTTGGGTGGTTGATTGAGTGGCTGGCTCCTTGCCTGCCGCCTGTCAACAAAATTGAAGCGTGCTAAAGAAAAGCCAATGCTCTCTCTTTCTCTTTAGCTCTCCACCAACAACAACTAACCGCAAGAAAACCTGTAAGAGTTCAACACTAAATTTTAGTATAAAATGCGAACGGAATGTGTGATTAAGTAAAAAAATGGAAAATAATAACAACACAAAAATTTAAACAAAAACTCACGACGTTGCTTATGGCTTGTTCATCGCAACTAAACACAACAAAGCAAAGACAACAAAAATCAAATAAAACAATATTTTGTTGATACTCCTGAGCGGTGGAACACCGCTGCTGACTTTGCTTGTCAATTCCGCTGTGGTTGTTGTTGCAGTTTCGTTGGCGCTCTACCCGATATTGTGCTGGCTGGCTGTGTGTTTGCTTTGCTATCTGACCGCTGAGTTAGCTGCTGCTGCTCTACCCAGCCAACAAACAGTTCACCACGAAACTTTGTAGACAGAGGAAGACGGTTACGGCTGTCACGAGTTTTTTTGTGTGTTGTGCGCGTTGTTTTTTCCCCCAAAACATTCGTACATTCGTCGTTCGTTGCGATTCGATTGAATTTAGTTTTGGTGTGTGTTTTGTTGGGCCAAAGTGCTTGGGCCCCCAATGTGAATTGGAATACTGAGAAAGAAAAAAGAATCAGACAATAATAACTAAAATTTAAATGGTGTTAAATGTTATTATTGTTGTTGCGGATTGAATTAAAATTGATTTATATGAAATCTGTTCAGTGTTAATTGTGTTATGTGAGATTGTCATTTGGCTTAAGTTTCACCGCTAAACAACGTTTGTTTTTGTGCGCGAGAGCGTAAAATCTACCAAAAGAGTGGGAGAGAGAGAGAGAGAGATAGTGAGACGAAAATTAAGGGAAAAATTCTAATTTTTGCATTGACGAAATTTTCGGTGTTCCTTTTTGTTTTTTTTTTTTGCTTCGCAATTTTTTACAGCCCGAGCTGTGTAACGTTCGTTAGTTCGATTGCGCGTATTTGCTGTCAAGGCAATTCGTTAGCCAAAGGGGCGGCAAGAAAATACATAGTATGTCGATGTGAAAAGCGAAAAATTCAGTTTTAACCCTCCTTTTCGAAAAAATAGTAAACCAAGAAATAAAAAACCTTCTTGGTAAAGAAAACCCCAATACAAATTGGGAAAATCACTGAGTTTTGCTTATCCGTCAGTCGTTTGTTATTGTTTTGTCTTATCGTCAGCAAGTGGGGTGGTACTGCTGTAAGTAAACTTCTGCGCCAACCACCCACTCACCCCTCAACCGTTCGCAAAAACGGCAAACGTCAAACGTCAAATAGCAAAGTGTGAAAAACAAAAACAAATAATTTCCAAAATAGAAACGAAACGAAAGAGCAAATCAAAACAACAACGAAAATAAAAATATTTAATTTTCAAAATAATACCCAAAGAAAATATCAATAAATAATATCACGAAAAAATCCAATAAAATAAAAAGGAAAAATTCCCATTAATCAAGGAAAGTAAAAATAATAATTTCCATCAAAGAAAGATAAAAGTGTGTGTTTGTTACAGTGCAAGAAAACAAAAATTCTCTGAAAAAAAAGTTGTAACAAAAATCCAAAATCATTATTCTCCAAAGGAAAACAGTAGAATTGCCGCATCATCACACACACACAGGAAAAACAGGTAAAATTTTCCAAAGAAATTTTAACCTACATTCTTTTCCCATACCAAAACTAAAACAACAACAAAATTCTACGCATTAGGGAAGTGACTTTACAATTTGTCGATGGATTTTGAACTCATCATTTCATTGTAGTTAAAACTCCGATTTAGTTTTCTTTCATTAAAATTGACTTTATCATCATCGTATAAATGGTTGGCTGGCTAGCTGCCTTGAAAGGCCTCATGACTTTACTTGATGATAATTTTTGTTGTTTGTTTGTTGTTTTTGTATTTTTTACAATTATGATATGAAGAGTTTAGTAGAAAATGTCAGATATTTTAATTTTTTTACTGAGGTAGATTTCCCCTTATTAGGGGAGACTGGCCTAGGTTCCCAGATATTGGACCCAAAAGTCCGGATTGACCAGGTTCCACTGAATCAATGTAATTTAGGTGTCATTGAGAGCTTTTGAACAGACCTTTTCAACAAGGGTTATATACACGGTTCGATATTGTGGACCCAGTTTATCGCAAAACTAGCAAGTGCCCGATGCTCCTTTCACTTTTTTTAAGATTCATTCCAAGAGTTCGTGTTAAGCCTTTTTATACCCTCCATCATTCTATGGAGGGTATATTAACTTTGTCATTCCGTTTGTAACTCATCGGTATATCCATAATATACCCTACAAAGTATATACATTCTGGATCAGCGTAAAATTCTAAGACGATCTTGCGATGTCCGTCTTTCTGTCTGTCCGTCCGTCTATTGTAATCACGCTATCTATCGAACGAATTGAGATAGAAGGCTAAAAGTTTGCATACATGCATAGTTTACCTGTAGGCAGGTTAAGTTAGCAAATGGCCCATGTCGGTTCACGTTTTCGTATATCCCCCACATAACGGTACCTCCCGATATTCGGTATTTTCATGATTTTAGCGACATTATTTATTGAATTTCGTATTTGAAGTTCGTAATGGGACTACAGCCTATGACAAACATTTTTATATGCAGGTCCAAGTCTTCGTATAGCCCCCATATAACGATATGCGGTATTTTGACGATTTCAGCAACATTTTTCTCCGTAATCGTTTCAAAATTCGTATTGAAAGATCTTAATGGGTTCTACAACTTATGGCAAAAAATTGTATGCAGTTCCATGTTTTCGTATGGCCTCCATATGACGGTACCTCACAATACTCCATATTTTCATGATTTTATTAATCACGGTGATTGTAACAAATTTCGTATTTGAAGTTCGTAATGGTCACTATAGGTTATGACAAAAAAATCGTATGCAGGATATTATTCAAGTTTTTCCTTTTTCGGGAAGAATAATGGCAAATTTTACCTTTTACACGAAAAAGTCTACAAAACTTTCAGATTAAAGTTTACGAGGATGATATTTATGAAACACAATTGCACAACGGATCCACATTCATTTTTCTATCCAAAACCGTTTTAAGGTCTCCAAATATTTTAACCCTAAAAACCAACAGTGAACTCAATATCAAATTTGAGGATTTCAGCTCTATTTCTTCGCACAATACCTAATTTAGTACTTTCCGAATAATTATTGTACAGATTTCCAAAACCACCTCCAAATCTCAATTCCATATATAAACAAAGACACAAAATCAAATTTTAGTATTCCAGACCTATCCCTTCTCTCCATTACTAAATTTAGTACCATTTTCCAAACTGACGCCTTTCAAAACCACCGCCAAATCTCAAACGCAGATACCACCCGCAAGGTAAATATCCAATTTCAGAATTGTAATTGTGTTCCTTCACCCAATACCAAATATAGTACCATTTCGTATTTTTCGTACAATTATGGTACAGATTTCTGAAACCACCTCCATATGTCCACCTTCATATACAGAACTTACTTTCAAACCTCATTCCAATTTTTTTTTCACGGATTTGTCTAAAAATTGATATTTGTTGGTCATAATGGGTTCTAACTCCGGTGGCGAAACATTGTATGTATGGGTCCATGTTTTGGTATAGCCCCATATAACGGTACCTCGCGATTTTCGGTATTTTGATGATTTTTTCGGTATTTTTGATGATTATAGTCTTACAGACATAAGCCATACTATTTCGATAAGTATTTATACCCTACACCACAAGGTGGTCAGGGTATTATGTCTTTGTGCATTTGTTTGTAACAGGCAAAAGGAAACGAAATAGACCCATAGTTCCTTTTGACGATCTGCATAGAATTACATTCTGAGTCGATTTAGGCATGTCCGTCCCTCCCTCCGTCTGTCCTTTTTTGTAAACAAAGTACAGTTCGCATTTATTACCCTATCCAGATGAAATTTTGCACAAAACATTTGTTTGGCCCAAGGACGAACTCTATTGAAATTTCAAAATTTAGATATAGCTCTCATATATATCTTCCTCCGAATTGCTTTCAATTGTGCAGCAAACGTGTAATGTCAGCCCGAATAGTATGGAATTTCGCACATACAACCAAATTAGGCCTGAAAATAAGTATGCCAAATTTAATCGAAATCGGTTCAGATATAGCTATAGCTCCCATATATATTGTTCATCCGATTTGTTATTTTTGTCCTCCGCAGCCGTAATATGCACCCTGTAACAAAAATATTTGGGGAAATATATCAAATACAGCTCAGAAATACATTTGCTAAATTTTATCGAGATCGGTTCAGATTTGGATATAGCTCCCATATATAACTTCGTCCGAATTACCTTTTATTGTGCACCAAACATCTAATATTCGTCCAAATGGGATGGAATTTGACACTTAGAAATTGGTACTTGAGTCTAGAAACTAGTATGTCAACTTTGGTGAAGATCGGTTCAGATATAGCTATACATACTGTTCATCCGATTTGTTATATTTGTAACCCACAGCTGTAGTATACACTCCGTAACGACGATATTCAGGAAAATATATGAAATACAGGTCGCAAATATCTTTGCCAAATTTTATTGAAATCAGTTTCGATTTGGATATAGCTCCCATATATATCTTTATCCGATTTCAAATTAATTGTGCACCAAATGGGCAATACAAGTCCGAATTCAAAAGATACAAATGCTTCGGCATATTTAGTCCTTTGAACTTTAAATTCAAATTATAATCATGGAGTTTGTGATTGCGTTCTCCCATAAAATCTTTAAATTTTAATTGTTATGCGGAGCTCTACTAAATTAGCAAAGTGGTGTAGGGTATCATAAAGCCCGGCCCGACTTTAATACTTTCTTTACTGGTTTTAATTCTGGTAGATTCTGATGTTTAATAAATGCGGACAAAGTCTCGCTTATAGAACTCTTCTGTAATCATAGTCAAAGGCATTGTAGATAAAGGTAGGAGAGGACAGAGTAAAAATATGGCAAAAAATATGGAAAATACCTCTGTTGTTATGATTTAAACTGTATTGTGGCTGTAATCGACCAGAGTTTGGAAGTCCCAAGATATGCCATGTATAAACCCAATCTGCCTTAGGAATACAAATTTCCCATGTAAAATATGCCCTTATATTTAATTCTGCCTGAAGTTACTTTATATATTGTGCCAGTTTCATCTTAGAGCTTCTTTCGGTTAGGAAACTTGCCACTACCCTCTACTTAGTCCAACGAATTACAATATCTTATTCACCTAGGTGTTAAATGCGATTGAGAATTGTTTCCTAACATTTTAACATTATTGTGTAGGGTGCAATCTATTCGACCCGGATTATAATACTATGCCTCATCGGCAAAGTGTAGACCACTTGTTCGAAGTAATAATTTTACTGGGCGTTTGTGTGAGAGCGTCCGTCCGTGCACTTGCATTTTCGGGTGTCTTTCATAATTTATTACAATATAAAAATAATATTCTCAATTTAAAATATCATGGCCTCATCCCCCAAATCTCTTTAAATGAAATTGCTTACTTGTGTTTTGTTTTCCTCCCCTCTTCAACAACATCTTTATTCCTCTATTCTTTTAATGCAACAGAATGTATAAAATGTTCTCTGCTATTACTATATTTCTCCTCTCTTTCTCTCTCTCGCTCTTTACCTCTCTTTGTCACAGAGAACACACACTTGCCTTACAGCTGTAAGGCTTACATCCCAAAGATACAAGTGTTATTATGAGAAGTTATTGTTGTCTTATCACACTGATTACGGTGATAGTATCTTTGTAGTCGTCTTTGTTGAGTATATGAAATTTCAGAGCATCATACTATTCCTCTATTTAAATTTTTACGTCGTATATTTCTCTCTCTATCATTCAGAACAATTTTAAAATATTTTTTTTTCATTTTGTCTTGTTCTTGAAAGTTCTTATCATCTTAATAATAATAATGATAATATATATTTTTTTGAAATTAAAAGTTGTTGTTGCCTTCCTTTGTATTGTTGCTTTTCTTTCCCAAGAAGAAAAGTCAAACCTCGATGAACCTTAGCCTTTAGATGCCTATTCTCTTTTTGTTGGTAGCTTAATAAAATCACAATTGTTTTGTGTTCTTTGCGACAAACAACGTTTCGTAGTTCTCATTTTTAATGTCTTCTTCGAAAATTGTTGAATACCAGTTTTAAGGGCCAAGAACTAGTAGACTTTTTGGCATGGTTCGCAGATTTGGCTTGCGCGTTTTGACAATTTTACTGTTACCCCAAAAACGGATGTAGAGATTATGTACAGAAGATCATAGAATACAATTGTTTATGGTCTGGAATGTTAAAGATCGTTATAAAAATGGAAAATATTTGGGAGCGGTGTGAGCTGGATAACTTATTAAAAGAAAACAGATAAAAAAAGTATCAGTCGGTTTCGGCGAAAGATGTAAACCCTCACCCTGAAAGAGACATTTATTAAAATGTTTTATGATTATTCAAAAGGTTGACCCTTTATAGAGGAGGTACCGAAAAAGTGGGCCCAATATTGTCAATTTCCATCTATATCGACCACTTCCTTCACTTTGTATGAGATACGTGTGTAAACATTTCTTTTGAAAAAGCCGTGGAGGAAAGGGGATTGGGGGGGTGGTGTACCACATACA